CAAGCCACCACACGCAGTCTCAATTGCCATCTCAGTGCACATCGGGGGCGGGGCCAGCATGGCAGGCCTGGGGATTGAACCCTTAGGCCCTGTGCCTACTTGCAGGTGCTTTAATCTGCTGAGCTATTTGGCCAGCCCTGACACAATTGTCTTTACAACAAATCTAATAACAAGACTAGGTAGTCTTTCGATTTCACAAACTGATACTTGAGACTATAATTATTGGAGTATCGTTAGCATTTAATATGTGTATGCATTGCATAGTGTTCAAACATACTTATCTTCTCAAACACTGGTCGCCTTGCAGTTCTTCAGCAGTGCTTGATGCTGCTGTGCGTGAGGTGAGTGACATATTGCCATCTTACCTTTCCAGTGGCATCCAACATTATCTGATGACATGCACTTGTGTTTCTGAGATCATAGCGTTTTCTTGTTCCTTGTTATATTCCTTCGGACCTAAAACTCCCTCAGAGAGACAAACTAAGTCTATTGCCAAAACTGAACCCATTTCTGTTCATAAATAGAAGTGGCCTTCTTTGTTTTTAGCGCCAAGGAGGATCTTCTAAGGGTGGGACAACAGACAGGGATGCGAGAGCAACTTGACACCTAACATTTCTTGAGGAGTCCTGGGAAGGTTGCCGCAATCAGTGCCAAGGTGAAATATGGCACTTTCGTTGTATATCTCCTTTGCAAAAAAAGTGAGAGAAAATTTTGCTAAATTGCTAACTTGGTCTCAAACTTGCATTCAACCTCCACACTGCTGCGATTATAGGCATCTGATACATGCCCAGATGCTCCTCTTCATTCTAAAGTATTCCCGATCTGAATTTGAGCCACTGTCCTCAGAGTAAGGAAGGATGAAAAAACTAGAATCTCTCTTGTGAGTCAATGCAGTTCTTAGCTATGAAACCCTGTAAAGTTTCAAGAACAGGTTATGTGGGCCCAAAATATAATGGCAAGAGCAAGCCTTCCCATTCCAAAATGCAGGAATAGAAGCATAGAAAAGAATTAGAGTAAAGCAAGCCTGGAACCCAACAGGGCAAGCATTAAATCTGTAGTTCTACATTCAGCACTGGGGCCCTTGGTGGTGAGATGTGAATTCCAGTGGCTTGGGCAACTCCAGTGTGCAGCCCCTACAGCCTCTCTTGGGCTGGCTCTGCTAACTGCCTGAAACTTTTCTTGCCAGAGTTTCCAAATTCCTGGCATCTCCAGCTTCCCGGAGTCTCTACTGCACCCTCAGCTTCATTCCCACGCTTTGTACATCTGCTTGTGCATGTTGATCCCACCATTGTCTCACAGGCTCCTATTAATTGGGGTATGCATATATATTCATATTTCTTACCTATTCCTATGTCATATATATTCATATATTAAATATACCATAATATCAGATTTACAACATTTTCTCTGACCAGAAGTTCCTCTTAATGACAAATCTTCCTCCAAACAAGAACAGTTGAAGTGAATTGAAAAAGCTCAGATTCTGGTTAACTTCTCCTTCAGAAGAGAGATCTTATGATCATGAAATAAGAGAAATCATCTCCAGAGCTAGAATAATTGATGAATGGGCAATTGCAAAAACAAATTAAAAAGGGAGCCTGCAGGATACTCACACCAGCCGGTGCCCAGGCACAGGGTATGTGATTGCAACCTCCCAGGGCCTGCCAGATCCTCATTCCAGCCAGCATCCAGGCCGGGCATGTGTGTGCAACTTCTTCCATTGAACAGACCTGGTGTGGAATCTGGAGCAGAACTCACTGAAAAGAGGCTAGAGACAAGAACCAGCCAACTGATCCAGGAGCAGAACATCTTTCCAGAGTGGTACAGAGGGTTCTCTTCCAAGGGATGCACTAGGAAGAAGTGGAGCACAGAGGCCAGACCCAAGCCACACCCAGCAGGATGAGTTTCAACTTGGTAGATCCAGACCTGGTGCTAAGGTAATAACTCTACCAAAGCTCTACACCAAAGGTCAGAAGGCAGTGCTATACAAAAATGACAAGGAGAACGAGCAAAATTCATTCTCAAGCCCCAAGCCCACTCAGAACAAATGCAGGAGACAATAGCATAAAAGAAATTGGAAAGCACACACCTGAAATCTCTGAAACAACAGCATTTGAAGTAAAGAAACAACTGCAGGACGGTATAGAGGAAATCAGATAAAAAATAATTTCTAAAGTAAAAAAAGAAATGATAACTATGATGAAACAAGTACTAAGTGCTTCTAAGGAAGACATTGATTAAAAAATAGAGGAGAATAGAAAATCATGGACTCCTTGAATGAGCAATATAGGAAAGAAATAGAATGCATGAAGCAGATTCAACATGCCATAAAGGAAATTAAACCCTTAATCACAAGCTGACAAAACTGTTTGAATGAAAGTGAAAACAGACTTTCAGACCTTGAAGGCACCATTGAAGTTAGTGAAAAGATAAGGAAGCATATCATTTTCTATTAATTGTATTGAGAAACAAATAGCAATGAGACAGTTTCAAAACCAATAAGTAGGACAGTTTCAATAATTAATACATTGCATATTGTTGTTTACATAGTAGTCATTCATATTACAAGATGCAGACGTAAAATTCTGTCCAAACACCTGTAGTACAAATATTTGTTCTCACTGAATTAGAGGAAAGTAGCTGTATCTCTATCTTAACTATTTTGTGTATACAGATGCAAAATGGTCCTTCGTTTCTATCCCCTTTTTTTGTTTAGTTCAGTCAGAGATGGGTATTCCATTGCCATTAAAATATTGTAGGTGCATGAATTCAGAAAAATAATCCACCATAGTGCAGTAGTCCACAGTAGGAGTGGGTTATCCATAGGATTATCAATGTTAGAAGTTGTTGACTTGAGCCTTTTACATCTCAGCATATTAATATGGCCTTAATTTTTATACCTCATTTTTATAATTTTCTGCTTGATGGTTAAGACCAAGATAAAGCAAGACCTATATAACAAGAAATGTAACTTTTGTATCTGACAAAGTCAGTTTCAGGATTTATCCTGAAACCCTGTACAGCACTTTTTATATCCTTTGTCAGTGTCAGCCATGTGCATGAGTCACAGACATTGATTGACAAATTTGCTGTCTGTGAAAGAGGGAAAGATGTTTTCTCTCCATGTGACTCTCCCTAGGCACACTCTATATCATCAATCACTTTCCTCTGTGAACCCATAATCTCCTTTATCAGAAAATTTGCAACACAACTGAGTCACAGGATGTTACAGTACAGGTTCTCCTATGTCCTGAGTCCTCACTAACATTGAAAGGCTAGAGACAAAATGTTGGCTGCCCTTGCAGC